TTGTTTTCCTTGTACGAGTTACTTCAGCTTGGTCGTTTTGCAAAAAAAGTTTGAACAAAATCCGGTGGTTCTTCAAAAAATAATGGTTTATCAGAGATTGGTAATTTGCATCCAGCTTTCGCTAAACCATCAACCACCTTATTGCCCTCCCTGTAGATGTGTTCTACTGTCACATTATGCAATTGGTCCAGGAGGTGCCTGCAGTCATCGATAAAGTTAGCATAAACCATATTATCATTTTGTAACATATGTAGTACCTGCAGAGCATCAATATTTATTTTCAGTGGAACCAAACTGTATTTATGCGCCAATTCCAAGCCAGTGAATAGTGCCTTAAATTCTGCTTGGATGGTGTTTGCATTGTCCAAGTTACCAGCAAACCCTATGATCCAACGTCCATGATAGTCGCGTATAACACCTCCTATACCTGCTTTTCTAGTCGATGATAACACTGCCCCATCCATGTTTAATTTATTAAAATTTGGCTTAGGAGGTATTCATTTAATATGTTGCATTGCATAATTCTTTTTCAAAGATAATTTTGCAGCGAAGTAAGTGAATTCCAGTGCGCTGTTAATAATTTGCTTAAGATAAACTCTCTTTTTAACGTTGTTAAAAAGATTAATGTTACGATTTAGTCAAATGTGCCATAAGGTGTAAGAAATAAAGGTTTGAGCATTAGCAAGGTGAGGCATTTGGTTGATGGTTTTAGTTATTAGCTTACTTAGCCATTGAGTTGGGTGTGAGTTTGGAAGAATGGTATTAGTAGTGTGACTTATTCCCAATTGATGCCATATATTAACTATGTACGGATAATGTAGAAATAGATGAATGGTAGATTCTGGGTGTGTGTGGCATATTTGACATTGATCAGTTGATGTTACTCCAATGTGGTTTAGGTATTTTGTTGTTAGTAATTTATCGTGCATTATAAGCCAAAGAAATATTTTTAGTTTTAGAGGTATTTGTATCTTCCAAATCCAATCGTAAGGAGGTGTTTGCATGCAACTTTAGTTCATGTTGAAGTAGTTTTGAGTATATTGATTTGGTAGTGAAATTGCCCTTATTGGAGATTCCCCAATAGATAGTATCCACTTTTTGAGTGTATGTTGGAACATTGATCCTATTTATTAGGTTTCTAATATGATGGTGAATTTGAAAAAGTATATCTTCCCAATTCCAAGTGTATTGGTGTCTATAGGTTGCAAAATTATGGCTAGTATGGTATGAAGGGATTTGACCAATTAGTAAAGAACACAATGTGGTGTTCGGAGCAATCCATGCCTCATTCCAGAAATTTAATGTAGAGTGGGTACCTAAATTCCATTGAATTCCCAGTTGACATTTACCCCAACCTCTAATAATGTTGTTCTAAGTGCTTGAAGAGTTTGCAAGAAGACATTTGTTTTTATATTTATGTATAAGAGTCTGAGCCCATAATTGAGTAGAGGAGTGAAAAACCCTCCATGCTAATCCAACCACTATAGCCTCATTCTTTAAAAGTAGCCTCTGTATACCTAGACCTCCTAAATATTTTGGCATAGTAACTGTTTTCCAATTAACTAGGTGGATCCTTCTTTTTTGTTGAGTAGTTCCCCATAGGAAATTACGCATATACTGGTCCATTTTATGCAAAATTTGTTTATGGATAGCTATGTATTGCATTATGTGGTTAGATAAAGCACTAATGGTTGATTTAATGAGAGTAATTCTTCCCGAAAAGGATAGGAATTTGGTTTTCCACCCCGCAAGTCTAGCCTTAAAGTTGTCTAGCAAAAATTGGAAACCAGACTTGATAGGTCTTTGTTGGCCTGACAGCTGTGTAAAAGTATTGAAAATATCAATTATGGAGTGACAATTTTTGTCATTTACTTTTGAAAGAAGGATGATGTCGTTAGCAAAGAATAAATGTGAGAGTTGAGGTCCATTTTGGGAGATTTGTATTGATTTCCATAACAGGTAATCGATCGATTGAAATATGGTTATTGAGAGTCTTTCTAAGCACATTATAAAGATATATGGAGATAGAGGATCACCTTGGCGTATACCCCTAGATGGTTTAAAGAAGTCCGTGCGTGATCCATTGACTAGGACAGATACGGAAGATGTTGTGATGCACGACATTATTAAGCTAATGAGTTTTGTTGGTAAGTTAAAATATTGAAATGTATTTTTGATAAACGACCATTCTAGCTTGTCAAAAGCTTTTTCCAAATCTAATTTTAACATCATTGTCCCATTTTGCCTTTTTTTTTTTGAAATGGGTAAGTATTTCTTGGACAAGGATGACATTGTTTGAAGCACGTTTACCTTGTTGGAAGCTTGATTGTGTAGGTCCGATTATCTTATGAACGAAGGGTTTTAGTCTGTTAACAATAATTTTAGTGATCAATTTATAAATGGCATTGCAAAGGCTTATGGGACGATATTGCGTGATTTCTACAGCATTCTTTACCTTGCGGATAAGACACAAATAAGTGTTGTTTATTTCTTCAGGAATTTTTCCTTGATTGAAAGCGTCGTAACAGCAGGTGATAAGTGGCTGACGGACTTCATTCCGATATTTTTGGAAAAATTAAGGGTGTAGGCCATTTGGCCCTGGTGACTTAAAAGGTTGAAATGAGTTTAGTGCATTTTTAATTTCTATTAATCTCAAAGGTTGTATCATTTCATGTTGGTCTTTCATAGGTTAAATAATTATGCATAGGGGAATGATCTCTTATTTGATGTGAAAGAGATTGTTGTGTTGTGAACAAATTGGTGTAGTATTGATAAATTTGATCCTGAATTTCAATTGGGTCACAAGTCCAGTTCCCTACAGTGTCTTTTAAAGCATTTATATAATTCCGTCTTCGTCGATGTAATGTGGACATGTGAAAAAATTTCGTGTTAGCATTTCCTTCGTTTAGCCACTGTATCCTTGATTTTAATTTCCAAAAGTCTTCCTCTTGTCTAAGTATAGTACTGAATTCATTATTTAATTGAATCTCAAGGTTTTGCAAGAAATTACTTGTATGATAGTGTATGGATTATTGAATCCCATTGAGTCTAGCTAGTATTTTTCTTTTTTCGAGCAAAAAGATTACCAAAAATGTGTTTGTGAGTAAGGTACATTTTTCGTACACTTGCAAATACGGCCGGGTAGTATACACATTTTCACGTACAAATTAAAATGCGGATAATATTGATTGGTTAAATTGTTGTTTAAGAAAGATAAATTTAGAAAATGTGTTGGAAATANGGGGGGGGGTTAAACATGAATATCAAATACTTTGTCTATGTCATGTGTACTCTCGAAGGCGGAGCCAGGATTTGAAGTATATGGGTTCGAAATTTTGGTCCTTTTAGTTATTGGGTTCTAAAATAATACGTTATTTATTTATATTCAATAGATTTCTTAAAACAAACACAGGGTTTGAACGAAAGCTACTAGGTTCGGCCGAACTCGCAGGCAAGAGCTAGCTTCGCCCTTGTATCTCTCCAAAGGCAGATCTAGCTTGTAATGTATGGGTTCATACAAACCCTGTAGGTTTTGTCTGACCATATAGATGAATTAAGAAATTTATCACATAATTATAAATATTTTATTATGAATACAATTATTATTATTATTATACATTAATTTGAGGTCAATGTAAAAATTCATAAATTTTAAATTCTAAATGTGCCTCCGTACTATCAATTTGTAACGACGTAGACGCATGCAAGATTCTAATACATGCATATATTCACCCTTGCATTATGTGTTCCTAAAACAAGCAGCAACGAAATGAAATCTTAATAAAGTAGCTTTGTAATATTTCCCTTGAAAGGAAATGCAATTAAACGATAATTAATAATTAATAAAATTTGTGGTTTTAATTAAGATAGTGATTCCCTTTGTTGACAGCATGATGGTCCCTAAAGTCAGCAAAGAAAGAAAGCTAATTTGTGAGGTAGCCCTTTGTTGTCAACTTTTGTTAGACCTATGGCTATGAAATATACATGTCCATGTCTATTATATTCAACTTATTAATCCAAGAAAATGACATCCCTTAATTCAAAGTACTCCCGCGCATTGACGTAACTGATGAAGTTGTTGTCATGCGACCGGGAGGTCACTAGTTCGAGCAATAGAAACAGCCTCTTGCAGAAATATTGCATGGTAAGACTGCGTATAATAGACCTTTGTAGTCTGGTCCTTCCCCGGACCCCGCGCATAGTGAGAACCGGGTTGCGCTTTTATAATACTCCCTTCATTTTATTATATTCTACTATCCCACCCCCCTTTTTAAATCTTTTTTGTAGCCTTTTGTTGTAAAGTAGATTAAGACTTGTCTCATAAAAGAGGTTAATACAAAAAAATACTCCTAATAAGTGGAAGACAAGGAGTCATGTACTTTATACATTGCGTAGTTTACTCCAACAAATGATTTCATTAATGGCGTCATTCATGCTATGTACATCCTCAGTTTAAAGAATATAAGGGCCCGTTTGGCCATAAGAATTTTTTCCCGAAATTAGTGTTTGTCTATGAATATTTCAAATTGAAGTTGCATTTCGGGATTTTTCGAAAATTAAAAAAATTCCAAAAAGTCGTTTTTCAAAATTTTCACTTCAAATAGCTCTAAATAGTATTCATGTCTAAACACAACTCTAATTTTCAAATAACATTGTCACTTAATTTTTTTGCTCTTCTTTTGAAGTATATGGTAATTACTCGGTATTGCCATATACTTTTGTTTAATTCTAAAACAAATCTAAAGGGTAACTCCATTATCAAAATTAACTATCTAACCTAGTTACTAGTATTGGCTTTATCATCTAGTCTGTAATGAAATTTAAAAAAATCTAATTATATACATTGACAATGTAAAATTTCGTTGAAAACTCAATGCTATTCAACTGATTATAACAAGTTATAACTCTTCAACATACCATATATTGTAGGTCACCTTGATATAATAGTATAAAAATTTATACACTACCCGTGCACGTAACATAAACTCAAAAAAAAGTGCTTTATGTAAATTTAACTTCTATATATACTCTAATTCTGTACAGCAAGATTACAACATTTCATTCTTAATTAGCATCTCTATGTATTCACAAACTTACCAAATTAAGATGTATACAAAGTTAACTAAACCAAGTATCTACAGCCTTACCAAAAAACTATAGATTATCATAATCTGCTTTGCTGCTACAAAAGTATGAAAATTCTTGACTACTCGAATGATAAGAGATCGATCCATTAATATATATTTCAGTACGGTATTCAGTATACATGGTTGCTTGACGATTTCATATATAGGACCAGCTCGTCTTCAAGAGTACCAATTCATGCCAGTAACTTGATTATAAGGTTGTCGAAAGACGACTCCATCACTAAGAGATCCCAATACTTGATTTTGAGGAAGTTGGCTCAAGAAACTATTATGTTCATCTGGTCGTGTAATATTCATGTTTAATCCATTGTCCAATGAGTTCTCTGCTAAGAACCTTTTTGCAGATGGAGAATTCGTGTTATGGTCTTCGTTCCAGTATAAACCTGCAGGCAATGGCCGCTTTGGAGGGAGGACACTACTCGATATGGATCCAACGTTATTGACGTTGATCATATCGCTAGTGTTGTTATTAATAATTCCTTCATACATATTTTGTTCAAATGGAGATATTGAGTTTGCTATACATGTTGGTATTGATCGTCCCATCATTTCATTCATATCGTCCCTCTCGTGATGATCTATTGGCCTTTGTGTATTATTTTTCTTGTAAATCCGACATAATACCCAATCATCTAACTGCAAAAAATACAACATATGGTACAATATAAGAAAAAAATATGTGAAGAAGTAACACTACTTGGTAGTGAAATATTAAGCATAATTTTCCATAAAAAAAATCACTTGAACTTGAAGTTGAGGAGAGTGTTTGGAAGACATGTAGTCAGAGGTGGACCGAGGATTTGAAAGTGGCGGTAGCACCCGTGTCAAACACAAAATTGAGCAAATGCTGGAGTAGAAATCGAACCTAAACAACACACTAAAAATACAGTTGTGCCCCATAAATATGACTAATGCAGCTTGCCTACACTTTGAGTCTTAATTAATTAGGGTGCCAATCAAAATATATACATGTTATTTAAAATATATATACATATACACATATACATATATATATTTTTTCTGAAATTACAGAGGGTCGGTGACCCAATAAGGGTAGGTCCGCCTCTGCATGTAGTAGCATTAGGATAGTAATTTCGTTTGGAGAAAAAAGTTTAGTAGAAGGATTTATGAGCGAAAATTATTATGTCACTTGAAATACTTCTCAAACAACTATTTACCGCATTTCAAATGTAGAAGCTCAATAACAAACTATAGTATTTACAAATACTGAACTTCATTATTTCTAAATATTAATACTATGCATCAATTCCAAACAAGTCGAATAATATTTCTAAATACTGAATTTTTTTGCCAAATGGAGAAATTCTGAAAATTGAATTAACTGATCAAGATGAAAGAAAAAATACTAACCCTCAAAGATCCTTTTTTGTTGGCAATATCACAACCAGGAGGCTTGTTATTTGTTTTATTTTCTGCAATCCTATATTCATGCATAATCCAATTAGTCTTCACTCCTTTCGGTGGTTTTCCGCCGTAGAAGACGAGAGCTTTTTTAACCCCAACTTTTTGATTTCCGCCGGCGGTGAATACCGGCTTGTCGGTTCCGGTAGCCTTCCAATAACCCGACGTTGCCGCTCGGTTCGGCCTCGCTCCATTAGGGTATTTCCGATCTCTTGGACTGAAAAAATACCATTCTTGTTCTCCAAAATTTGCCTTAGCTGCATCAAACACCCCGTATATGTTAAAAATAAATTGGTAGAGACGAATTCAGAATTTAAATGGGTCCAAGAATATTGAGTTCTTTCATAATATGGGTCCAAAACTTAATATTTACACTACTTTTTAGACTTTTTTCACGTGTATATTTAAAGTCCATACTAGAAAAGTCACAAATGCTTGTATCAGGGGTAAACTGTCTACATCACATACCTCTAGTAACGCGACTCTTTTCCGAACCCTGCGTAAATGCTGAATACTTTGTGCATCCCTTTATCAACGGTTGAATCCGCTTGACAAAATGGTTGAATCCGTTTGTAATATGGTAAAAAGGATACAAAAATTGTTTGGATCGCAAGTTCAAATGCCTATTATAATATTTTTATTTTTTTAAATTCCCTTATATAAATTTATGACTCCGCCAATAAAATTGAACGAACCCACTCGTGATCCTAGTTGGTCCTTGGCAAGTTGGCTATAGAAACTTTATTGACAACGATTGAAAAGGAAAAAATAATTGACAACTTTTTGTTTTTATTATTATAGGTAGAATTGGGAAATGAAAATTAAAGAATAATAATAATAAAAAGAAGAAATAGTAGTAAAATATATACCTGGAAGTTCCCATGGATCAAACTTATAAAGATCAACTTCGGCAATAATATCAACGGGAAGAGGAGCAGAGGCGGATTTCTTCTTAAGGTAATGAACTACGAGTTCTTCGTCGGTCGGGTGGAAGCGGAAGCCCGGCGGAAGCTGAGGCTGCGGCGGCTGCAGCCGCGGCGGAGGAGTACCAGTTGAAGAATCAGTAGTACTCTCCATAAATTCAATTATTGACGATCAAGTTAATATCTAGTACAACAACAACAGTACAAAGTACAACGTAGTTAATTCGAATTGTACGAATTTTTGGGATTTTTTGGAAGAGAGAAATGGCAATGGAGGAGATGGTAATAGTAGTAGTAGAGAAATTACAAAGAAGAATAAGATGGAAAATTGTTGGTTAAGCCCCACACCTTTCTTCTTCTTATATATAGTATATGGGACCACTGAATTTACGATAATGCCATCGTATCGGGATTTAACTTATATACACCGAGCAGTATAAAGTATTTTTTATACTATGTACTACTTTTGTTATGACGGTTATATTCAAATCGATTTACTGGCACCTTAACTAATTTATCGAATAATTTATCATAGCTCACAAGCAAGGGTAGAGGCAAGTTTCATTAAGAAGATTCAAAAAAAAAATACTCTCGCCGGGGTTCAAAAATTTATACATAAGAAGATTTTTATCGATATATACAGTATAATTCTTGAGCGATGAGATTTGGTGTAACTCCTCGACAAATATGTCTCCGCCATTGCAATCACAAGTGCAAGTGTGAATAAATCTGCTCAATAAAGTTGGAGAAGACACAAAAGGTGTTGTTATTCGTTGTCTCAACTATTGAATCATCATTTCGAGAATTTAAGGTTAAATATTTATAGTAAATATATATATATAATTAACTTTTGGACTAAATTACAACTTCTTTTTATCAATTTATTTATGTTGTTGATCTCAAATTTGGATTTGAAAAATTACAATAACTTGATAATTAGTATAAAATTAGTTAATTTATAATGAATTCTCATAATAAAAGACATAATTGAACTCATTAAAATTTTTGCAATATTTTCATCGGTGATAAATTAACTATTGAGTTTTCAAATATTTTCAGTATTTGTAGACCTAACAAGAATACGAAATTTAGGAATTTGTTTCATCACATCTCCTTCACATGACCAATTTAAACAAAAAATCCCTACCAAATTGAGCCAATATTGAGGAGAATTTTTTTTAGTTTGTTTCAACTTGCATAGTATAATTGAATGAAAAATAGTTATGGATGTTGCACGTACCAAATTAAAGAAAAAGTAGATGGAGTGACTTCCATTTCCAATCTTCCTATCTAAAATTAGCAGCCTTAACTAATTGGATGGTTTTTGAATGGGTTATTATTATTTTTAACCCGCGTCAGAAATAATTTATATTCGGTAGCCCAAAAATGTATGTATGTATATATATATTTGGTTATTATTTTGGGAGCGGCTATACAGTATCATTTTTCCTTTTTGAATGGTCGTCTCTTTGTTTCTTCCCATGAGCTTTTGTTGGTTGTGTGAATAAAGTTCAACATTAATAGTTAAAAATTGGTAGCATACATATAAGTTGTGTGAGGCCTTTTGGGAAAAATCGTATGGGCTGGGTCCAAGCTGACGTACAATATCACACTATGTTAGGAGTAATTTTGGGCTGGTTTAAACCAACAATTGGTATCAGAGAGTAAATTCGGCGGGAGTAGTATGGTAATGACAGAGTGATGGTGCGGATCTCGGTTTGCTCACCCTTACGAGCTTGGAGGTGGGCACACAAGAAGAAGCTGGTTGCGGGCTTCAGTTGCCATAATACTCTAACAATGTGGATTGGACACAATGAATCTCGAAAATTGACCGGTAGATTTTGGTAATGGACCACATGGAACTTTGTTCGAGGGAAAAACCCGTGAATTGTAGTAATGAGCCACGTTGAACTTAGTTCGAGGGGGATGTTATTGAGTGTGCGATTAATATTCTACATTGGCAGCTGAAAAATATTTGAAACCCATATATGAGGTGTAGAGATCTTTTAATGGCATGAGGCTTTTGAGAAAAATCGTGCGAGCTTGATTGGAAGCGAATAATATCACATTATGTTAAAAGTATTTTTGGGTCATTTTAGCCCAACAACTTTAAATACCCAACACAAATTGGAGACTAATTTAGGATCTAGAACATCCGCGTTCAGAATGAGTATAATTTAGGATCATATTTACTTTTGTTTCTGTCGAATGAAAGACAAAATATTTATAATAGTTGGATTTTTCTTTTCACAAAAGAAAATTAGAAATCTCTTATATATGGCAAGGATTTTTTTCCTCTCATTTAGCGACATCGATAATGTAATCCCTAAGGAGTTTAAGAGTCTTATTTAAGAACTTTTTTTTGAAACAAGTTTTAGCCAGTCACTTGCGTGAGCCTCTTTACCTCTTTGAGTGAATTTTATCGGGTTGTTCTTCCGATATTTGGTACTCTATTTTATATAGTGAATTGCTTATTTTCACATGTGAATGTAGGTCAATTGGCCGAGCTAGTCACGTTAAATATTTGTGTCTCTTTAATTTTAATATATTTCTTTTTTATTATCTGATTTATCATCGTTTAAAGTATAATTTATTAGCTTTTACGAAACACCTAATTATTTCGATCCTAACAGTTCCAGTTCCAACATAGTATCTATGTACCCATACTATCTACTATATGACCAAGGAGAAAGTGAATGTTTTTGAAGAATAAGAAAATCAAAAAATAAGTGTGATAGAGTAGGGACAAGGCCCCATAAAACCGTTGGCTTAGGATGTGACCAAAAAATCTTCCACAGTTTCCTAAGATGCTCCTGTCCTAATAAAGTATGGTATGAATTTAATGGAATTTTTGACTCAAGAGAGCGCCTAGAGAAATTAAGTGACGGAGCTAAAAAATTATGTGTTCAGATGAACTCGATAACTTTTGCTTAAAGTTTATATTTGTAGTTTGAAGGTTCTTCATATACATATATAAATATTTAATTATAAACTTAATGACTAAAATAAATTATAAATTCGATGATAATTTAAAACTCATAAACTTCAATTTCAAATTCGGACTTTACAGGGAGCATGAGAGGGCACTAAATGCTGAATTCTTCACCAACCAGGCTTGCATTACCTGTCAATTCTTGATGTCACATGAGCTTTCTCATCTCTGCTTTTGCTTATACTTTGTCCCTAAACAATTTTTAGAGTTAGTATTAGAAAAGTGTGTTCATCATCAAAATAAAGGCGATGGATTCAGAATTTTAAGTTAATAAGTCGAAAAATTATTGTATATATGCATTAATTTTTTTGTGATAAGAGATGCTATACCAGTTATTTAAAATTTTAGCTAGTACTAGTATATAATTTCTCTTGTCAAAAATAAGTGTCGCTTTGACACATACATTAAGAAAATTATTCGAAAATATTAAGGACCCGTTTGACCATAGATTTTGGCAACTTGATATTTAAAACATACATTTGAAAATAATGTTTGTTCATGGATATGATCAGTTTTTGAAAAAAATTTCAAGTTCCCAAATTTTGGTTTAGGGCAATTTTTGGGTGAAAAATTTCTTTCCGCTAACAAAATTTCATCTTTTTCTCTAAATAAAATGAATGTCCAAACACAATTTCAACTTTCAAAAATTATTTTTTAACGCAACTTCAAAAACTCATTTTTCAAGTTTCTATCAAATCTATGTCCAAATGCTAGCTAATTATAAGGGTTACTTATTTAACTAAATTACCTTTTAAGTTTTTCTCTCTTTGAACCTTTTACAAAATTATATAGAAAGTTTATTGAAGCAACATTAGATTTGATCCGAATTAATTTGACTAAAACAATAACTATTTTGGACAGAAATAGGTATATGTGTGTAATACTGCTTATACTACACATCTGCCCCTTAAAAAGAAGCCAATAAAAGAAGTGTCTTGCCTTTGCTTCTGCTGCCCTCTCAGTGGTAGACCATATCTTAAGAAAAGGAAGTAGATAATAAAGAGCAACTGAAGAAAAAAGAAAAAAAGAAAGATAAAAGATGCATACAAATATTATAAGGATGTGATTAATTAATTTATTGCTGATTGTAGTATTTCATGTAGATATTAGTTTAGGAGATTTATGAATTTTTTATTGCGGAAGTCGATCTGCAGCAACCACAACTTAAGTCATCGATCTTTGAGAATCCTCATAATATGCAAAATTTGATCGTTGCTACTCAAAACCCGAGTTGTTTCAAGCAGAGGCAGGCCTATGTATAACATTGAGGGTCACCGGACTCCATAAACTTCGGCAAAAATTTTATATATATATATATATATATATATATATATATATATATATATATATATATATATATATATATATATATATATATATATATGTGTGTG